GTCAAGCGCATTTGCAAATTTTGCCTCACTGGTACGTTGCCAGGACAGTATGCCATGGGTTTGCCTTTGCTGACCACGCCTGGCTCGCCACAGCAAGCCTACACCACGCAGCTGCCCTACGGCAGCCCAGGCCATGGCGAAGGAAGTTCGTGGTTTGGGAAGCTCGTCCGTAGATGTCATTTGCAAGGGGAGTCTCGCGTGTTTCCGCCATTGCTATTAGGTTGGAGGCCATCGTTTGGTGGGTTGATACACGTGTTTACTCTCTCGAGGCTTGTTTCCGCCATTTGCTTTTGGAATTCAACTATGCTGGAGTCCCAAAAGGATGCTCCCTCCGGTGCCAGATGACCAATATCCGAGTCCATCCGGCTGGGACCAGAAAAACACATGGGGAGTGAATTAAAGCGTTCTGGTAGCTGGCACATATGCAACAGCATAGATGTATATAATTGAAGTATGCATAAGTATGCCATGATATTAAATGGTACACTTTTGTTCTTCTTCACGACACCTCTCCCCTTCCCGTGTGTTTCAGGCTCCCGCGCCTTTGCCACGACCCTCCCGGCCACCTACACCGCGGCACCCGCGCCGACCTCTGGGGGCTCGGTGCGGCTGACGGCGCCCGCAGTGACGGCTGCTCGGGCCACAGTTTAGGCCGAGTTCGACGCGATCGACATCGAACTGATGAGTCGAAGGGGGGTAGCTTCTTGTTACTACTAGTAACAAGTGCCACGCTAGTAGTAACAGGTGCCCTACTAGTAGTAACAAAAAAGCTATTAGAATTAATTTTAAGGCACCTGTTACTACTAGCGAGGCACTTGTAATTACTAGCAAAGGAATCTAGGGAGAAAACCGGTGTAAATGCTTGGTGCTGGCACTGTGCATGGGGTTTGCTCCATAATTACCTTCCCCTTTGGAAGAAAAGTGTGAGGTGGCCCAGAGAGGGGTCGCGTCAAAGCTTCATGTGAGATCCGGAAAGGTGAAATGATAGAAAAGTGTATTTGGTCTATTGGAATAGGATGATGTTGTTGTGAAACTCCCTATGGCCGGCCATGTGATTGAGGATGAGTTTCCTCCCAAACAGGGGTTGACCACACTTCCCACCAGTCTTGTTGGCCAGGGCGCGAGGGAAGTCCAAACAATCCACTGTATCAACCCAATGTTTTGACTGTTCAATTCTGCTTTGGCATTTCAACAGGTACTGTACTTTTCGATGTTATTCATCAAAGTTGTTGTCTTTTCAATGTTTATTTGACCAGTGCAGCTATGTAATGAAATGGCTTACTTCTGTCTTTCTTCCTTTCTTCATTTCTTCCTTTCTTCCTTCCTTTCTTGCTTTCTTTATTTTTCTGTCTTTCTTTCTTTCTGTCTGTCTGTCTGCCTGCCTGCCTGTCGTCTGTCTGTCTGTCTGCCTGCCTGCCTGTCTGTCTGCCTGCCTGGCTGCCTGTCTGTCGTCTGTCTGTCTGTCTGTCTGTCTGTCTGGCTGGCTGGCTGGCTGGCTGGCTGGCTGGCTGGCTGTCTGTCTGTCTGTCTGTCTGTCTTTCTCACACATATATGCATATATGTATATATGCATATAGAGGCAGAACTGCCCAGTGGGCTTTTGCTTTTCGGGGAGTATGCCTATGACTATCTCACGTGGCATGGCACGCTCAAATTTTCCCTGCATTCGAGCATGTAGGAACCAGACTTGACAACGCTGACATGCACTTCACATCAGTGACCCATCCCAAGATTCCAGGGAGATAAAGTGTTGATTCAACAACTTCCTTTTCTTTCTCCCGAATGCGTAGCAAAGGGCTCTCGTTCAACTCTGGGGGTCTGGGGGTAGAGCCTTGTTCGCGACTCGTTGTCGCAGCGCTTGCAACCGTTGTCAGCCGTTCGCAACCGTTCGCGGGTGGGGCGCTATGGCGCTGACATTGGGCGAAGCTTTTGGAGAGGGTTTTGGATGGAAGCATGATGTGTTAGATCCGTGTGACATAGCGAGGAAATGTGTGGAAACGTCAGATGTTGAAGCGTGGAGCATGATTTCCCCGCGCAGGTGCAGCGGTTTGTGAGATTCGCAGTTTTCTTCGCAGTCAGATTGGGATTGGCGTTTAGAGGGTGGTGTTTTTGGGTTTTTGATATGGCTGTGACATTGGGATTTGCGCTTCAGGCTGTTGCTTCGAAGCTGTGTTTTCGTGACCGGTCTCAGCTAAAGCTGCGATTTTGATGGGTGGAGTTTGCTCAGAACGTGTCGAAATCATTCCGGTGGTGCAAATTTTGATGAAGCTCATATGATATGATATTGTAACTTTTCACTTTTCGTGGCAGGCGCAGTACTTTGTAGGGAATTGTGAGGTTGTGAGGTGTGGCGGCGGTGACATTTCGTGGCAGGCACAGAACTTTGTGTGTGTGTTGGTGTGGACGTGCAAATTTTCGTGGCAGGCACGCGGAATCGTGAGGTTGCAAGTTGTGTTGGAGGTGAATGTCGCTGTGACATTGGGATTGGCGTGTAGTGTGTTGGAGGGGGTGGGAATAGCGAAACTGCTTGGCAGGGCTGCTTAATGTGTGTGCTCCGATAAGGCTTCCCGCTTGACTTTTGGAGGAAGTCTTGTACGAAATGCTCGTTTTGGAGACTTTGACACGTGAGTTTTCGAGGAAGTCTCGTAAATGCGCTCGTTTTGCAGACTTGAAGTGTGAGTTTTTGAGGAATTCTCGACGCTTGTTTTGGAGACTTGAGTCAATTTTGGGAGAAGTCTCGTACGAAATGCTCGTTTTGCAGACTTGACGTGTGACTTGGGAGTGGGTCTCGAAAGAAACGCTTGTTTTGGAGACGTGACGGTGTCCTCCTCCGGCGGCTTGTAGAGTGTCCCCACAAGAGTGTCTGACAAGAATGTCCGACAAGAGTGTTCTACAAGAGTGTTTCGCAAGGGTGTCCCACAAGGGTATCTGAGTGTCCCAAAAGAGTGACCCACAAGGGTGTCTTACAAGAGTGTTCCGCAAGAGTGGGGCACAAGAGTGTCTTGCAAGAGTGCTCGACAAGAGTGCCCTACAAGAGTGTTCCACAAAAGTGTCCCGTAAGAGTGTCCCGCAAGAGTGTCCTACAAGGGTGTCCCACAAGGCTTTCCTACAAGAGTGTCCCACACCAGTGAGTGTCATACAAGAGTGTCTCACAAGAGTTTTCCACAAGAGTGCCCTGCCAGAGTGTGCCACAAGAGTGACCTACAAGAGTGTCCCACAAGAGTGTCCTACAAGAGTGACATGCAAGAGTGTCCGACAAGAGTGGCCCACAAGAGTGTTCCACAAGAGTGCGACAAGAGTGTCCTACAAGAGTGTCCCACAAGGGTTTTCCACAAGAGTGTCCCACAAGAGTATCACACGAGAGTGTCCGA